TTTCAGTACCTAAAACCTTGATGGTTTGATCGTTTTTTGCACCTGTTTATTCGTTTTACTGCGGCGTCTTTGAAAATACTCAGGTGGTATGACATAACATTCCTATTATTTGATAAGCTTTAGATTATTCAGTTATTAAATGTTTGAAATTATTTGTCTTTGCGGAAAGCACTAATTAAAGAATATGGGCCCTTAATGTTTCAGTCTCTTCATGGAAAGATATTATGTATCCATTATTCTACCAAAGTACAATTTGAGGGTAAATAAAATGCATGTACTATTATGGTAACTTTATATTTTTATTTAACTAATGAATCTTGCAACACAAAATATTAGCACATTATGTTTACTGTTGACAAACATAGATGTGACGTCATGTATAATAAATATAATAATAAATACTTCCGATCATCATAGAACAGTTTTTCAAAATCTGTCATCATGCCTATTATATTTATCTTAAGTGTGCACAAAGCAGGCGCTGTTGGACCATTAGTTTTGGTACAATTGCAATTTGAATTTTTTGTTGCACAATTTTGCACAAGTTTCTGGAAGCGTTGGAGGTGGTCCGATTTTAAATTTTCAGGTGGTGATACATAATAAATAATATCAGTGTCATGGAGTGTACAAACGACTCCGATGTAGCAGAAGTATCTAGATCTGCCAAAACATTTTCGAGAAAACAACTTTTTATTATACTTAATTTCGTTCATAAACAACTTACAAAATGTAATAAAATTTTTGTCACAAAATCACTGATTTAAATGCTTTATTGATTGGCCTCCTATTATGTAGAAACGACAAGTTATTTATTTGACAGCGTAGTCTGAATATAGTATGCGCGTCAGCCGGTTCAATTTCATCCCATATGCGCATGACGTCAGCAAAGAACTACGGACATTCGTTATAACATTATGTATAAATAGAGTATTTAAGTTAATAATGATACGAATACCTGTTTTGAATAATAAAATGAATGATGATCAGATGAAACGACAAAACGTTCATTTTCATGCCAATATATACCTTAATTTCATCAGTCTTGTTCCTTAGTGACGTCACCACAAGCTACGCGCATGATACCATATTACATTCCCACCAAAACAAAGAGTAGCACGACAGAAAATTTGAATTTGAATTCTAGTATATTTTTTTATTTATCAGTAGGCCCTGGTTTGTAAAGGAGCAAAGTTGAAGTAATATTAGAGTCGTTACAGAGATGTACACTGTTGGACATTCCCTGGATCTAAAACGGACTTAAAATGAAAGTCCTGTGGATGTTGGGTGCTATATGGGTGGTAATGTACCAATTCATTTATATTGGTTAGAATTTTTGATAATGACCCAAAGTTTTAATTTTTATAATAACGATAATTATCGTTGAATTTTTCAATGACTAACCTAGTTTTCTTCCTATTCATACTAGGCACTTATTAATTGGTTTGTTCGACTTAGCCGTCGCTTTTAACCACCTTTCCTATGATATTGTACTTTGAGGAAGGGTATTTCAATTTCATAACAAATATATCCTTGAATGCTCGTCTGTACCTACATTGTATATATGTATAAATGTATTTCAATTTAATCGTAACTTTGCAATGAAATTTGTAATTCTAATATTATGTACTTTCCCAAGTGTTAGAAACATATCTAATATGTCAGCAGTTGGACATTGAAGAAAAATTAATGGATTTTGAAGACTGTTTGCATGTTAACAATGTTTCCAACAGTTAGCTTTAATTTAAAATCACAATGCGTTTGAACCTTTTAAGTAATATCCGTTAGAAAGGAGTAATAGGAACTGAAAACTTCAGCGTTTTGAGACAAAAGGTACCCGGTGTAAACCATTATTTAAAATGAAGAAAAACTCAATCAGTGGCGTTGAAATTTCGGGCCCAGATCTCATACGAGGCCTGTTCGGATTTTTTTTAAAGTTTATTATTAATTTTACACTTTATTGGTCCTTGTGCCTTCAAAGTACACCCCTCCCCTATTCACTCACTTTTCCCAGCGATGTTCCATTTCGCAAAGTCCTGGATAGCTTAATTTGAAATGGACTTTAAGTCTGTGACTTTGCTTTGATATGACATCAATAGTCTGAAAACAGCGTCGAGACCATAGACCTTATAAACTACTTGATTCGCCCAAGTGTCATTTTGCCTATATAAACGCCAATCGCACAGACGTGTGCGAGAGAGATAGAGTTAGTACGGGCTTATGCTTCGTTCACAGAACTTCGACTGTTGCGCGTTACATTTAATTCAACCAATCAGCTAGCTATACTCGATTCCTTACCCCTTTTTTCTGTTAGGCCTTATTCCCGTTTGAAGTTAAAATGATTAACTACATTTATGTATGGTGGCTACCATAGACAAAATAGACTGAACTGTAGAGGCAAGCCGGTGAAGCCAACCGTCAGCCAAATCTCGGCCATGCCAGCCTCGCGCTCTCAGTCGCNAAGTTGAAGTAATATTAGAGTCGTTACAGAGATGTACACTGTTGGACATTCCCTGGATCTAAAACGGACTTAAAATGAAAGTCCTGTGGATGTTGGGTGCTATATGGGTGGTAATGTACCAATTCATTTATATTGGTTAGAATTTTTGATAATGACCCAAAGTTTTAATTTTTATAATAACGATAATTATCGTTGAATT